TGTTCTGTCGGGACTGAATGTCTTATTTTATTTATGTATTCAATTATTTATTCATGCGCTCATTTATTTTAAATATTTCAAATTATATCCTACTGGGCCTTTCGCTCACGTTTTATGTTTTAAATGTTAAACCCCTCCCAGGAGACTCGGGGAACGGTGCAGGGTAGCTGGAGGTTCTACTGTTGGATCAAATGAGGATTGAGTTTATCTTCTTGAACGAATGTAAGGAATTTGAGAAATTATGTAAACCTATTTAATATTGGATTTACTAGACTGTGGTTGATGTCTGTTGTAATGATTATTTACATGAGCATGTATGTATGATACTGTATGTCCTGTGGGGTGGAGCCATGTGTGTCAGAGGTTCCGGAATTCTGTAGTAATGAAATTATATTTTAATGCAGTTAAGTGTGGGGCCCGGTTGGGAATCTGCTTTATTAATCCCTAATCGAGCTCCACGTCACCCACCCCGTTTGGGGGGCGTGACAATCATGCATCCATTCTTGTCACTTTATGGCCCAAAGCCTTTGAAATTGATGTCTATCTTATTAATTTTATGCCCAAGGTCAACTTTTTCCATGATTTCTGCTTCTGAAAAGCTATTTGGTCATTCTCCTAACATGTCTAAGTTTGAAATTTTTGGGTGTCTGTGTTATCTATGGTTACGTCCCTATACATTTAGGTCTCATTCATTTCACCGATTCGAGTTTTGTTACAGTAAAAGTTCTCAGAAACAGTCACATTTAACTTTTTTGTTACAATAAAAATTTTCACATAAAATTACATCTCAACTCGAATCAACAAACTAAACATACCTTAATAAACTTGAACCCAAATCTACTCCGTGTGTTTTTCTAGGATATTCACTTACCCAAATTGCGTACAAGTGCTATTGACTCAATAAATAAAAAAATGTACGTTTCTAGGCATGTAACTTTCGTGGAAGATGTCTTCCCATTTCAACATCAATCTCTTGATTCTCCATAGGAATTTTTGTGAATGGCTTTTTTTTTTTTTTTTTTTTTTTTTTTTTTTTTTTTTTTTTTTTTTCATTAACGTTATCATTTACAATATACACATGTAGAATCTTTCCATAAAAGGAAAGAATGAAATATACTACAAATCTCCTAAAATAAAAATGACTAAGGAATAATAATTACAAAATATTGCTACTAATTTTAATATCATAATTTATGATTATGATGAGGTGGACATTCCTTATTAATAATTAATGTAAGATATAAAGGATATATGTCTTTTTGAAAAATGTTGTATAGCCTCACAAGGTCATATCCCTAATACCCACCCTCTCACAAAAAATAAGCCCTATCTATGGAATTAAAGTAGAGCAGTATATTTGCACCCTAAAAATTTATAAATGTTCTTAATAATTAATTTTTCTGATAAAAATTTAAAAAATCAATCATTTATAGTATAATTTTTATAATACCTAATTTAAATATCTCATACACTTATCTTCTTCTTATTTTTCTTTTTCTTGTTATTGATTATGTCTATTAAATAGGAATAAAGTCTCCATTATACAAAAACAACTAGATGTGATTAAAAAAAAAAATATGCACAATGATGTTGATGAATATAAAGGCCTGCTCAACGACTTCACACATTCATATATGTATATTTACATATTTTAGCATTTGTTGGCTCTTCAAGAGACCTGCTTTTTTCTTTAATTTCAATTGGAATCTCCATTGAAATTTTTGAAGAATTTAATGGAGAAATTTTAGGGTTTATGAACTTGAAATTGGTTTTAACAAAAACTGTGGGGTATGTTTTGTTTCTTCTCCTTTGAGAATTACTTTCTAATTATAATTAATGTGGGTGTATACTCTTTTATTTTTTTTTTTAAATACTATTTTCATTTATAGTTAATGTGGGGTTATATTAATAGTTTTAGTGTAATTTTAATAAAGGATAAAATTGTAATAAACATAAATTATAAATTATTGGAGGTATTAATAAATTTTTAAAGTGTAAATATAATTACAATGAAAGTGAACCAACAGATGGGCCATATTTTGTAAAAAAGTGGGAATATTTCTTCATGGTAATAAATGGGATTGCTCTTTTTTGTTTCAATTAATTAATTTATTAATTAATCAACTTGTTTTGTTTTGTTTTGTTTTTTGTTTTTTTGTTTTTTGCTATGAATTAGTCAGATTGTTTAGAGTGGTTGTTGGTTGTTACTTTTACGCAGGAGAAACTAGAAATGAATATTAGTTTGGTATTTTTTTATATATGTATTGTGTTGGGATTTATTAAAGTAAATTATGTGTAATAGATGGGAGAGAAAATAATATAAAAATGATAGAATTTTATCTTAATGTTGTAGGAAGAAAAGATTGTCAGATTTAGATAATTACTGCTTCGCGTAATTAATTATATTATCCTTTTAAATGGATTAAAGTTTGTAGGATCCAAACATAATATAAAGTGATAATATCATTTTGATATTTTATATTACAATGAAACATATTCTTGGTAATATGTGTTATTGATACTATTAAAATGATACATGAACCTTTTTAAAAAAGAATATTTTCTTGATGCCTTAAAATTGATTTTTGAAACATAAAATAATTTCACTACCATTCTATTTAATTAACCAAAAACTAATAAATCTAAAAAAATCATGAACTTTTATATTTTGTTGTTTTCTTTTAAATATTTTAAAAGAAAATTGATTTTTATTTAATTTATAAAAATGTAATTTGGACATTATATCTCTTAATAATCAGCTTCAGGGTATTAATAAGATATTCTTAAAAACATCAAAGTACCGTTTTAATGTTATCAAAAACACATAGTACTAATAGTATATTTTGCTATAACAGAGACTACTAAAATAATTTTATTGCTTATATGAAAGTCTAAAACACCAAACAAATATATTCATCCATTATAACAAAAGAAAAGCCTATTTATCGTTAATAATTTCTTTATATATTTCAGATTACAAACTTACAATCTTTTCATTTTGTGGGTTAACTTAATTTTAGATCTCAGTGAATTTAATTTGATCACTGACATTAATATCCCCTCACAATTAGTCGTATCTTAGATTTATAAAATTGTTCTATTAAGCTCTAATTCCATTGAGAATTTGTTAAAAAGTGAATGAAAAATAGAAAAATTCGTAGGGACACTATTAGTGCTAAGCACCATCACTAACAGAATGTAGACTCCATATGTAAATCTTATACTGTAGGACATACCTTCTATTAATAGATAATTTTAAGCACAAGCGGTGCCCTATAGCGAAAAATAACATATGACAATCGTGTAATATATTGTGTGGGCCTTCAAACACTTTTATATAGATCGAGACTTAATTATGGGACATTTTAAATCTCAAACACAAAAATATATCACTCTTAAATCCTCAAAAAGAAAGGAGATTAATAGTGTGCATTTTGGTTTTCCAATAGCTCAAATAAAAGAAAAAGGGTTAATATCCTGAATTTTGTTATCAATTCCACTTTAGCTTTAACTTTTATAAATTGTTCTAAACTTAATCCATAATCTATCAATTTGTTTCAATTTTAAGTATTTTCATCAATTAGGTGTAAAAAAGAGTAAAAAAATGAATAATCTTTAGTTAAATAAGCATTATTTTATGTTTTATACCAAAATCATATGTATATCCCATATTTAATTAGTAAAATACTATTCTATTTGAGCATCACATGCATATTATATATATATATATATATATTATACTTAACTGATTAAGGTCTCGTTAATTTTACCGATTCGAGTTTAGAATTTAAATTTTACTACAGTAAAAAACTCTCATATAAAATTACATCTCAATTCAAATTAAAAATTCAAATTTATGAACTAAACGGGTCCTAAAAGTCCTAAAGTCAAAACATATTAATGAATTAAGGATGAGTTTTGAAATGTTTTAAAACTCGAGGAATAAAATGGGATTGATAGCAAATTGAGAGACCATTTCGTAGATTAATCCAAAGAAAGATAAACCTAAATAAAAAACTGAACACGTCAGCGGAACGGCGAGTGATAAAAGAGGAGAAGCCGAGCCGAGCCGAGCCGGTAAGCAAATTAAAGAATCGTGGCTCCACGTCATTGGTCAAACACTCTCACAATTTTTTTTTGTTTTTGTTTTTTTTTGTTTTTTGTTTTTCTTTAGTTGTTATAAAATCTCGAAAACCAACTTCACAAATACATGCTCAACACCATACTCATTATGCCATCACATTTCACATAGACCTCTCTCTCACTGCCATTCTCATTATCATTACCATTTTCCTTTCTTTTTTATTTGTTTTTTTCCATTTCTCTGCAATTTTTCTCCCCACAAGCCACAGCTATAATGGTGAGTTCTTCTCTTTTTTCTCATATTATTATCTTCAATACTTCGCTTTTTTTTTAAAAAAAATTTAAGTTATTAATCTTGTTTGATTTTGAAAATCGGTGGTCTTTCAAGTGTGGATCTGTTTACGGAGCAATCTGGTTTGATTAGTAGCTCATTTCTACTGCTTTGCTCGCCATGGCTGGCTACCTTGTAGATCTGATTTCTAATTTTTCTTTTATTGTTATTATTATAATAATAATATTATTAAGCTAAGCTTTGGATCGCCATCCCACTGATTATTCTGATTCAGTTCTCTCTCTCTTTTTTTTTTTTTTTTTTTTTTTTCTTTTTGTTGTTGTTGTTGCTCAAAGCTTGTAATTTTTTGTTTATTTGATTTTTTGACACTTGAAGTGCAAGGAAATACTGATTTTTCGTATGTTTCATTTTTTTCTGATTTTTTTTTTTTTTGGATATTCATTACAAGTTTGATTTATCAGAATTTGAAAATTTTGATTGCTGTGGACCCTCGGGTGTCACCTGGATCACAAAATTGATAACACAAAACTGTCGGAAAACACTAAAAAAATCTCAATTTTCCTTTGGTTAATTAATAGTTTTCTTGTGTGTATCACTAATCCTAACTTTTTACCAATTTACGAGTTTTGTTATGTTATTCATATTTGTAATTTTTTTATTAATTAATTTAGATTAGACTTGGTGGCCTTAGCATTATTTGTCTGACCTTTTAAATGAAATAAAAGTTAAATATAACAGGAATGAGAAGAGGCTTAAATTCAATTATTTTAGACCAAAATTAAAGACTCAAATTTTGTCACATATCAACGTATAAACCCAGATATTTAGAAAACTGCCTGTGAACGTTTTGGTTTTTATCATGTTCTTGTTCTAAGAAGATTTCTAAGAAGTGGATGGTTGATCTGGGTCAATGTCGATGCAATTTATAGGCCAATGCTATTTCTGGGATGGCTGTGCATGACGAGTGCAAGTTAAAATTTTTGGAGCTCAAGGCAAAAAGAACACACAGATTCATAGTTTATAAAATCGAGGAGAAGCAAAAGCAGGTTGTGGTGGAGAAGGTTGGTGAACCAGCCAAGAGCTATGACGATTTCACCGGGAGCCTCCCCGCGGATGAATGTCGTTATGCCATTTATGATTTTGACTTTGTTACTGAAGAGAATTGCCAAAAGAGCAAGATTTTCTTCATTGCTTGGTATTATATGCTATTTCCTCACTTTTTGTCGTTCTTTGGGCCGTATAGCTTTCCCTTTCGCTTTGAAGCAGTAGAATTAGAATAAGAGAAGTAAAAGTTATGACTATCATTTTTTATGAAGATAATGAATTGGATATAATATTTGAATTCGTCTATTAGCAATAAAAATATTATAACAAAGTTTATAAAATCTTGTTGAAGTTATGATACAAGTTTCAAAATCATCTTGGAAGAGCAATTTCATTCATTAAGCTATACAAGTTTCAAACACTTTTAGAAGTAGCTTTTGGACGCAATAAGTCAAAAGTTACTTCCAAGTAGCAGTGCCACATGAGTCCTTAAGTGAAAAGTTAACCGTTTTAATATCTTGTGAGTACTTTGCTTTTATCTAACTTGGTTGTTCTTAAATGGTTATGGAGGTCTCCTGACACTGCAAGGGTGAGAAGCAAGATGATCTATGCAAGCTCTAAAGATAGATTTAAGAGAGAGCTTGATGGGATTCAAGTTGAGTTGCAAGCAACCGATCCGACGGAGATGGGCCTCGACGTGATCAGAAGCCGTGCCAGCTAAACATGAGCTATAGGCCGCCCCCTTATCTGATGGAAATTCCTTCCTCCCCTGCAGTCTTTATTACTTGAATTGAGTGAAAATGCTATAGTTTGTGGAATGGCAACTTGCAAAAGTATGGTATCACCCATTTCCAAGTTTTTCCAATGAATTTTATTCATCTTCATGGTGTTTTACTATTTTATTTAGTGAATATCAATTTGTTTAATTAGTTGGCTCCTTTTTTCATAGTTCCATATGGAGAGAAGTACTATGAATATCCTAGTTGTTTGTGGGGGTTAGACGACAACTTTAGAGCCTTTTCAAGTGTTGTACATGACCACCCCTAGTGTTTCTTTTACTTTCATATCGTGATTAAAAAAAGTGGCTTTTTTCATGCTTTATGACCTTCCTGTTGTTGCTAATTTGTTGGCTTGCTTTTGTATTACTTGGACGTATTGGATTAATATATTGAAATACCTGATTTATTTGTTATTTCAAAATGCAAAATTCTTTATAGTCCTCTCAAATGATGTACCTCCTTATAAGCAAAAAACAGCTACTCGTGATGGATGGCACGTTCGTGAATGTGCCTCGCCAATTTGCGGGGCTTCTTTGTTGATTTACAGGTATTTGATATTTAGGAATAACCTTTTTTCTTTAATTCTTAAGTGGGGCCAAGCCAAGTAAGTGTGAAAAACGGATAGACAAGGAAAACCTTCTTGGTCTTGGACATTGCAAGAATGGCATTCACGTTTCAAAGCACTGCCAGAACAAAAAGACAGTGAAAGAGATGCAAATGTAAATGCATATGAAAAGACAGTTAAACCAAAAGACTGAAGCTGAAGGAAACAACAGTGTCTCCTAAATTCTTTGTTTTAGTTTTCCCAGATACCAGTTTTCCCATATTTATTTATTATTTTATTTTTTAGATTTGTTTATTATTTTATGTATGATTTTATTTTTGATTTTAAGTAAAACACATTCACAGCAGGAGTGATGCTTAAAGAAGCTAACACACGCCTATTGCATTGTAATCTTTCTAATTCACAAGTCTATTCTGTTCCAAACATCGACTTCTGGAGGCTAATCTGCCTCTTTCCGCTCCTTCTTCTAGTCACTGTTGTCCGAGGGGAGCTGGGGTTGTCCTGGAGAAGACACTCTAAAGCTTAAGTCAGGCAAACGTTCAAGAATAGATGAAATGATAGAACATGCTTCTAAGAAAAGCTAGAGCGGGAGAGAGAGCCCCCTGTTGAGCTTATCGCATTCTATTTATAGGGTGAATGTCATGATCAGATGAATATTTTTGATCCTCTCAGATCATGACACATCATTGTTTCTTCTGATAGACCGAGCTGAGGTTGTTCTGTTATTCACTTTACACGTGTCTTATTGTCTTTGGATTTGTTAATCTTGGAGGAGGGGGAACACGTATCTTGGCTTTGGGATGTTCTTTTCCCTAACACGTGTCGTTCTCGTCTTTTCCTCGATCTCGGTCTATCTCGGTCCGTCAGAGTTCTCTAGTAACATCGGTCTTAGGCCTCGATCAACGTCCGTGCTTTCCCTCAATCCAGGTGGACATTGATCGCTGCATTCGATCTTTATGCGGCCTATCCCTCGAGTTGTTCCCTCAGTCATGGTTTTGATATGAACTATTGACATGTGGCGTGATCTTACAACGGAATCTCCCCAACAAACTTTATGTAATAAACAAAGAAACAAGCAAGGTTCTGGACTAGAACGAGTAACATTCATGATTTTTTTTTAGTAAAAATGCAATGTAGATCAGGCCTCAACATATTTTGTTCTTTCTTTTCTTCTCTTTTTTAATTGAAAAACATGCACAACGCCAAAGACTAGGGATGACATGATAGTGGAGTTAGCACACGGTAGAGGTGTAAGTTTGGGCTGTCCGGCCCAGCCTAGTCTGGGCTCGGCGGCCTAAAATAAAATTTTGAGCCGGCCCAGCCCAGCCTTAAAAGAGAGAGTCGGTCCAGCCTGGCCTTAAGCCCAAAAAGTTTAGGACCGGCCCGGAATTTTATAAGGTATATTTTTAAAAAATCTTTAAAAATATAATGTTTGGGCTAGACTGACCCTAAAAAAGAGAGGGTCGGCCTAGTCCGGTCCTAAGCTCAAAATATTTAGGGCCGGGCTAGGTTCGACCTGGGCTAACAGTAGCAGACCTCGAGCATACCCGTTTAGCCCGGCTCAAACTTGCAGCTTTAGCATGCTGTTGGGAATGCTACTCCCCGTCATGCTATGTCCTAATGATAATAAAAGAGCCGATAAGGGCTTCACAGTTCATTTTTTGGTAGGCAAATATGCACCCCATCATGCTATGTCCTAACGGCGAATAAAAGAACCTTTAAGGGCTTAACTGTTATTTTTTGGTAGTCAATTGTGCACCCTTCTGGTACTTGATCTCTATTTTTTTTTCTTTTTTCTTTTCTTTTCTTTTGCTCTTCTTTTTTTCCTTTTTTTTTTCCTCCATTTGTCCACTTCTTTCTTTTACCTTTTAAACCGTTTGAATCTTTATTCTTTTTAACTCCATCTTTTTTGTGATTTACCTTTTTTTTTATCTTTCCCTTTTTGAACTCTTTGTCGATCATTGTGTTCTAGAAATATGTTTTACCTTTTTTTTCTTTTCTATTTTATTTTGGCTTCATTTGTCTATCATAGTCTTTTACCCCATATATTTTTTTGTTGGTTTCGGAAACGATTTCAGGTGTGGAAGCATGATAATAAGGATCGAGTACAAATAAAAATTTTCTTAAAACTTTTATAAACGGTATAGATTGTGTGTTAATTTGTACGTGAATAAAATTGATCTAATTTGTTTAGGAATATACCTAGTAGTCAATTAGGATGATAATTTGAGCCTTTGACCACGAATAATCCAAGCGCTCTGATTCTCTAATTACCAAGAATTTTCCAGAAGGATTTTATCAGTACTGGGCGTGTACACCATGTGGACCCCTCCACATGTGTGTTTCAATATTCAAATTAAATAATCACATTATTTAATATATGATTAATTCATAATTAATTATTCTTGAGTGTTTTATTTAGAATTCATAATTCTAAAATTCATATTTTTCCCTTAGTGTTTTGTATAATTACAAGGACGATGCGGGGACTCATGGACCTATAATTCTAAGCTCCAATAAAATTATTAATTAATTAAAACTCTTTAATTAATTAATTAATTCTAAAATTACTCCACTATAAACTTAGAATTGTACTCTTGTAATTATAAACATAATTTACTTCCAAACTTTGAAGTATCCATTTGATATAGTCAATACATATAAATCAATTCTCCATAAATAATTCATAATTAGAGCTAGGTGAAATCTGTTAACCTCTCTAATTACATTTTTATTCTTGAGTACTATTGATTCTCTAATGAACAGTGATTCATAAAATAAATTTATGAATCGGAGCTCCTACTAGTCCAAGTATCGAATTAACCCTCAAGAGAATTTTTTATCTACTTCTTTCTCAAGAAGGAATAGATTCCATCTCATATATTAACATCTTCATCATGCCTCTAAGATACACGAAACAAGATTCAAGATCTCAGAATCTATACCGAGTAAATCAAAATACACAAATCCATAAATAAGAGTCTGCTAATAACTCAGGATTAAGATCATTCTATATATGACTATATGTAGGCTCAATTAGAATTTTTACACTGAATGAAAATGATCATAAGTTCATATTGTGTATGTGTCCCTCTTTCACACAATCTCATTATGCGTAATACACTCATTTAATATTTTGTCATATTAATAGTGCGGATAACACCGTTCCATTATAAATAAGAATAACATGTATTAGTAATATTTTAATTAAAGATTTCGAACATTAATTAAATTCATTACGAATATTGTTTTGATTATTATCCTTAAATATTATTCTCTCGAATATAACACTTGTATACAATATTTAAGGTCACATAAATAACCATAGAATTTTCAATGATATTCATAAAATATTCAATAATATATGCAAATAAAATAATGAATAAACTCTCTTATTAAATAAGTAATAAATATTCTATTACATCTCATGATTATGAACTTTAATTAAATTCATTACGAACATCGTTTTCTTGATGATTGTTGCAGGCGTTGATGATCGGCTTCAACGGCGCCTGTAACAATCATCGAGAAACCGATAAGATTTGGTTTGGATATTCGTTGACGTCCAAGATTTGGTCACCAACGAGATTTGGTTGAATCTGGTCGTGACGTCGGGATCTGGACGAAGAGGTTCTGGTTCGAAGTGGTCACTGCCATAAGAGATCTTAGAGGTGGTTCACGCTGGTACACATCACGGTTCTTCTTAGAAATAATATTTGTCGTCATCGATGGTGGTTTGCGTTGACGTCTCACGATCTGGTCGGAGGTGATTCCTGATATGGTTGGGATTTGTCACTATTGGAGGAGACGAAGGTGGTTCGAGTCGCGTCGTCGTCTCATCATCGATGTTTGGCGATCTGGTCAGAGCTGATGAGAGAGAGCTAGAGTGAATAATCGAAATCAAAAGAGGAGAGAGAGAGAGAGGGAAGAGAGAGAACTTTGGGATGACAATGTAAAAGAAGAAGAAAGAGAGAGAACTATAACACTACTTGATTTTAATTATGCTATTAACTTAATATGCTTAAAAGATAATAACTTCAAATATGGTCTCAAAATATGCTACAAGCTTGCATTTTTCCTTCTCTTATTAACACCTAGATATGACAATGGCTTCCTTCCTAGTAGGAGTGGGCCAAAAATATTGTCAATGGTTTTAAATTTTTGTCAAAATTTCAAAAGCTCTAAGGTCTCGAAATATATCAGTATAAATTTTTATTTTTGGCAAAATGAAGGGTGATTTTAGAAAATATTGATAAATTGTCAAATTTCAGTGAGGTGATAATGTTCTTTAAAAAAATAGAATGAAAGAGGTAAACTAACATCAAAATAAAGGGGAGAAAGTGAGAAATAGGCCAAGACTTGAGATGAATTAAAATTAATAGGCCAATAGTTTACATAAGTTAATAAATAGGCCAAATGTCCATAATTTGTCTGGTTATGAAGCATAACTTTACAAGTTATTGTCCATAACTTGTTTGGCTATGAACCATAACTTGACAAGTTTGTCCATAACTTATTTGGTTATGAATCATAACTTGACAAGTTATGACATATTAATTTTTATAACTAAAAGTTGGTTTATATACTTCCTTAAACTTTTCATATTCACCTATTTTCTACTATTTTCACAAAATAAAGTTGTCAATTTGTGCTGGGCCAAATAGGCCAGCTCGAAGCCTGCTTCTGGCGCTGAAGATATAGGCCCAGATACCTAATTTGATTAGGCGGGTCTAAACCAATTAAGGTTTTATTTTTTTTTCTTATAACGTAGATAATCACATTTAAAAGTGAAAACTTTGCATAAATTGTTACTGTAACTGCGGATGTTATATTTTTTGACGGGTTTTAATAGTAACAAAATGAAAATTTACATATAAAGTATCTTATTCTGTAAGATTTTAAGTTATCATGTGATATATACTTGTTTATCTTTATTAAATTTTAGAAATCTTTCATCAATTTTAGTGTTAGAGATTAAAAAATTGTCAAAATAAAAATTTAGTGATCAATATGCCAAAGTTTAAAAGTTCAAGGATCGAAAATGTTATCCTACTCAAAATTGAGAACTAAAATGTCAATTACACTATAAAGTGGACGCTTAGTTTATGGATTTAGAATTATGATTCAGAATTATTCTCGATTTATGTGTATTTTTTGTGATAGAAAATACTGTAGCGAGCCACGAACTATGATTCGCATCAGTCAACGAATCTACCAACCAAACAAAACAATCCATTCAAACGGTGTCGTTTTGATCCTAAAATCCCAAATCCTAATTCTCTTTTTCACCCTTGAGATTCATACAGATAGAGATAGATTGTGTGTGTTTAGGAGTGAGAGAGCGGCAGTAGCAGGCGGTAGCTCAGCACTCCAGATTTCCATGGCTCTCCCATTACATCTCAAATGCTATCCATATCCATTCTCTCTCCCTTACACCTTCAACCTCTCTAAACCACCATCACCATTTCCTCCTCTTTCCTTCCCCAACAAAACCAATCTCTCTTCTTCATTTTCTTCCCCAATTCACAAAAACTTTTCAATCCAGTCCTCCTCCTCCACTTCTCCAACTCCTCTTCTCCCTCCTGACTTCACATCCAACCAACTCCTCGACGCCGTCCGCCGCCAAAACGACGAGTCGTCCGCTCTCCGCCTCTTCGAATGGGCCTCAAATCAGCCCAACTTCTCCCCCTCTCCTTTGCTCTACAACGAAATCCTCGGAAAGCTCGCCGCCGTCGGCTCCTTCGAGTCGATGAAAACCCTCTTGAACGACATGAAGAAGAACAACGACGACTGCCACGTGGGCCCAGGTACTTTCCTGATTTTCGTTGAGGGTTATGCCAATTTCGACTTGTACGATGAAATTTTAGGTCTTGTTGATGTGATGGAAACTGAATTTGGGGTTAAACCGGATACCCATTTCTATAATATCTTGTTGAATGTATTTGTTGAGGGAAATAAGTTGAAATTGGTTGAGGAATCTCATTCGGATATGCTTAGGAGAGAGATTAAGCCTGATGTTTCGACTTTTAATGTTTTGATTAAGGCACTTTGTAGGGCCCACCAGATTAGGCCTGCCCTTTTGATGATGGAGGAAATGATGCCAAATTATGGCCTCTCCCCGGATGAGAAAACATTCACCACTATTATGCAAGGGTACATCGAGGAAGGTGATATTGGTGGTGCCTTGAGAGTTAAGGAACAAATGGTTGATTATGGATGTTCTTGTACTAATGTTACTATTAATGTATTGGTTAATGGGTTTTGTAAAGTGGGTAGAGTTGAGGAAGCCCTCGGGTTTATCCAAGAGATGGTGGAGAGTGAAGGGTTTGTTCCTGATAGGTTTACTTTCAATACATTGGTGAATGGTTTGTGCAAGATTGGGCATGTTAAGCATGCTTTGGAGACGATGGATGTGATGCTTCAGGAGGGATTCGATCCCGATATTTACACGTATAACGCGTTGATTTCAGGGTTGTGTAAGTTGGGGGAAGTTGACGAGGCTGTCGAGATTCTGAACCAGATGGTTTCGAGGGATTGTTCCCCGAATACTGTCACATATAACACGATCATCAGCACGTTGTGTAAAGAGAACCAGGTGAAAGAGGCGACAGAACTTGCCCGTGTTTTGACAAGCAAGGGTATTTTGCCCGATGCTTGCACTTTCAATTCGCTGATTCAAGGTCTGTGCTTGACGAGTAATCATAAAGTTGCGATGGAGCTCTTTGAGGAGATGAAGAACAAAGGGTGCCAGCCGGATGAATTCACTTACAATATGTTAATTGATAGCAATTGTTCTAAAGGGAGGATAATGGAAGCTTTGGGCCTGTTGAAAGAAATGGAATCGACTGGTTGTGCACGGAATGTGATCATATACAATACTTTGATCGACGGGTTGAGCAAAAATAAAAGGATTGAGGAAGCAGAGGAAATTTTCGATCAGATGGAACTCCAGGGAATTTCGAGAAATTCGGTGACCTACAACACCCTCATCGATGGCCTATGCCAGAGCAGGAGGGTGGAGGAAGCTTCTTTGCTCATGGATCAGATGATAATGGAAGGCTTGCAACCTGACAAATTCACTTATAATTCGCTTCTCACATATTTCTGCCGGGAAGGAGATATCAAGAAGGCGGCAGATATTGTTCAAACCATGACCTCAAATGGTTGTGAACCAGATATCGTCACATACGGAACACTTATTGGGGGATTGTGTAAGGCTGGTAGAGTTGAGGTCGCAAATAGGCTTCTTAGAACTATTCAGATGAAAGGGATGGTCTTGACTCCACAGGCTTATAACCCTGTAATACAAGCATTGTTCAAGCGAAAGAGAACAAAAGAGGCCACGAGGCTTTTCAGAGAAATGATGGAGAAAGGCGATCCTCCAGATGCTATCTCCTATAAGATTGTGTTTCGCGGGCTTTGTAATGGTGGAGGACCGATTGGAGAGGCTGTTGATTTCGTGGTTGAGATGACAGAGAGAGGATTTGTACCGGAATTCTCGTCATTTGCTATGCTTGCTGAAGGGCTTTGTGCTTTGTCTATGGAGGACACCCTCATCAAGCTTGTTGATCTGGTGATGGTTAAAGCAAAGTTCTCGGATAGTGAAGTTTCCATGATTAGGGGTTTTCTCAAAATCCGTAAGTTTCCTGATGCATTGGCCAATCTTGGTGGTATTTTGAATAGCCGAACGCCTAGGAGATCATCGTACCGGTACAGATTAAACTAACATATGCTTCTCTGAATCCAATTTGGAGTAAAACACAAATGCGACGGGTTTTGAGTACGAATGCTGTTGGTTTCTGCTGTTAGTCTTGGGCAGGTGAGCAGATCATCTTCTAGTTCTAGTGTTCCAATAGTTGGAAGAGGAAAATGCAGAGATAATGTGGAAGAAACTCCTTTTTTTTGTTTTTTAAACATTGTGCACTGGACGGAAGTCACAGAGCCACTGCGAGAGGAGGTAACAATTTTCACATGTATGTTATTTCATTCTCGAATTTGAGATGTTGTATGTGCAAGAATGATAAATAGTTTAACCCTTGTCTATGGCCTTCTACATTTCTCAATAATTGATTACAAATTATACTACAAATTTACAGAGAAGAGCAACACCACTCTAGGGCAAACTACTTCAAGGCAATAAAGTGAAACTACGACTGAGAAATTACTTTGCTGCTGCAAAATCAATTAGGCTAGATTAGGAAATATAAATGGCTCCCATCTTATTCGTGTACCTGTCATTGGTGGTTCAGTTCTTGGTGATTGAGTGCCATGATTTGCCGTTTTAAGGGTTTTACTTTTTAACAATAATGAAGAGAATATTTTGCATTTGATATAAATATCTATTTCTCCAAAAATTTCAGCTATTATGCTACCAGATGACGATTCACTCTGAAATTTGAGAATTATTTCATTTTTTCTCTCCTCTTTTCTAAGTATTTGTTAACGTGATTGATTATTGCTTGAGAAATTAATTACCAACCACTTAAACCTGTTTCAAATGTGCAAATTCCAGTAATTTTCTGTTTACAATATTTGCAAAAACATTTATGAAAAGATCTTTCATATAGCTGTTAAAACTATATTATGGTGCGCCTTGCCAGTGAATTGATGTTGAGATCATAATTGTGTTAAAAATAAATTTATTGAATAAAGAAGTCAACGACTGATGTTTGAGAATTTGTTGTTGGAAATTTGTAACTGCCTCTGGCTCTAGTGCATCCTAGCATGGCCAAAATGAATGCGCGAGCTGCTATAACTTCATCTGACGAGTGAGAACAAGGCGTGTCGCTGTACTTTTCGAATAGCTATTCAACAGGCACAGTCTTTGTGTTCCAATAACAAATATCATCCCCTAACAAGGCTGCGAGGGAGTCGTGTCCCACCACCTCTTTGCAAGGGCATAGATCAATGGACCATCAATTTCAGATATCTGCAACGAGTCAACTAGAGCTTGAAACCGGACCTCGCCACAATCTCTTTTACACTCGGGCTAAGCTGAACATACCGGAAGCCTAACATTGCCACAACCATGTATTTGAACGAAACGGTCCTGCATTTTGTTACGCAGTTATTTGTGTGTGTCGGGCAACGAACAGGGTAATATGGCGTGTACAAACTTAGGTCTTAAGTTTGCCGATTCGAGTTTTCAATTTGAGTTTATATGTCACTTTTTGTGAGAGCTTTTTAACTGTAACAAAATTAGAATTAAAAACTCGAATCGGTGAAATGATTGAAACCTTAGATACATAACAGCAGAACTATGAAGTGTACTTAAAGGTATATATTGGGAAGTGTGAGTCGTGTCCCACCACCACTTTGCGAGGGCATAGATCAATGGACCATCAATTTCAGATATCTGCAACGAGTCAGCTAGAGCGCTAAAACCGGACCTCGCCACAATCTCTTTTATACTCGGGCTAAGCCGAACATACCAGAAGCCTAACGTTGCCACAACCATGTATTTGAACGAAACGGTCCTGCATTTTCTTACACAGTACTTGTGTGTGTCGGGCAACGAACTTAGGTCTTCAGTTTGCCGATTCGAGTTTTCAATTCGAGTTTAGATGTCATTTTTTGTGAGAACTTTTTAACTGTAGCAAAACTGGAATTGAAAACTTGAATCGGTGAAATGATCGAGGCCTTAGATACATAACAACAGAACTATGAAGTGTACTTAAAGGTATATATTGGGAAGTGTGAGCTATGACGCAGACAACTAAGGCTGGATGTGTGTTTGAAACTCGTTCTAAAATGATTTTGTTTTTTGTATGAAAATGGATATGAAAATGTTTTCAATCTCAAATATAAATCATTTTTAAAAATGCATTTGGTAGTTTTATCAAGAGATTATTTTCAGTATAAAAAAATCATTTAATGTCTCTATCTCTCTCTCTATGCTCTAGAGATTGGCCAACCTGTTGATTTAGTCCACTTATTGGATATCTTGACAGATCTAACCACTTTTGGCTTTGCCAGTCAACCCTTCCATTAGTTGTTGGATTTTCTGCACACGGTGGCTCAGCCCGCGGCAGTAGTATTAGGAGGGAGTATGGGTCTCCGGCCTGTAAAGCTCATGAATCGAGCACTTTTAGTGGTTATGGATATTTTGAGAGGAGAGGGATAGCTCGAGTCTTCGAATCCATTAGGTAGAAGTGAGAGAGGAGAAAATAGAAACAAAAAATGAAAAATAATTAAAAGACGTTTTTCATTTCTCTTACATTTTACACTAAACCAAAAAATCGTTTTCATTTCTGTTTTTTGTTTTTAATTGTGCCAAACGCCGTTTCTCTCATGTTTTCATTTTTTTCTCAAAAAACGTGAAAAATAAAAACAAAACTAACTCCAAACATGGCCATTATGTTTCCGAACAATAAAAATAGGAAAAGTTTGGTAGAACCAAGTTGTTGTAACAATTTTCCTACTACATTTGATAACAGTCTAAAGAGCCATATATTATATCACAAATGGTTAATGAACTTTTAAGTAACACCGCTTCAAATAATCTCTACAAAAATTCTTATTAATGTTGCATGGCTATACCACACCTCTTTCATAGTATTAAATTACCTCCTTCCCAACCGAACCAGGCATCGAAAGCAACTTGGCTATAGGCCTCAATGCCTATGCCCTACGCGGGATTTTGCCAACTCATGCCGCGGCTGCTTAGAAATATTTATTCAAATAGATAAGACGTATTAAATTATTAATACACAATTAGCACTGCATATTATAATACCTAAAAACCCAAAAAGTATACTTTTGCTTTAAATTCTTTACTCAACTTGGTCGTATATACCTCATCCATCCACTAATCCGCACGTCCTCATAAATAATGGCTGTTTTTTTTTTTTTTTTTTTCATGGTCCAATCATTGTTATATTTATATGCAACATATTATTAGGAGCATTTCAAAAAAAAAAAAAAACATGTTATTAGGAGGAATTCTCATTCTCAAATCTAATTAATTAATTAATTACTGTTTTGAGAAACTTCATGGAAATGGTTCATCAAGTGGCTATTCTCTAATTTCTGGGGGAAAAAAATAAATCTCTCACTTGTGAACAGGAAAAAATATTTAATTTGTTTATATGTATATGTGTGTGTTACTACTGGTAATTTTTTCAAAGCAAAATACTACGTATCATGAAAAATAGTTTCACGACACATGATAAAATTAATCTTGAAATGTTATGCTAATAGTTTGAGTAAAAACAGTAGTTTTATTTTTATAAAACTCATAGAAGTTTGGCACTTTGAAGGGGACATGAAAAAAAGGACAGAGGAGCTCAATTCCTAAACTAAGGGAACCAACTTATGTGTTCTTTTATTTATGTCTCTTTTTACGTCATTTTAGTAATATTATGACACGTCAATTAAAATATCACATTAAATAAAAATTCTTATTACGTCAATTAAAAAATCATAACGTAACATGTTATTATTGAGGTGACACGAAAGGGAATATAAAAAAAAGGGCCATATGAGCTCAAACTCTAAACTAAGCGAACATTATAAGTTAAAGCTTTTGGAATATTCAATGGCTTCTAATGGCATTCTTAACTAGAAATTTAACAACATGGAGAAGAATTCTTTGTATTTTGACATGTCCAATGCGATACCTTTAATCACGGAGATAAAGACAAAATGAAAATCAGAAAACATAAAATGCCAAAAAAATAAAATTAGAATTATAAATAGAAATTCATGACCATAAAAGTCCAATGAAAATCCCTTTTCAAAAATTAAGGTGCGTTATTTTAAAATAATTTTATTTTGTGTATAAAAATGAAAATGAAAATATTTTTAATCTCAGACAGAAATTATTTTTAAAAATGCGTTTGGTAGTTTTATCAAAAGATTGTTTTCAGTATAAAAAAATCTATTAATGTTTCTCTTTCTCTCTCTGCTCGAGAGAGGAGAAAATGAAAACAAAAAATGAAAAACGACTAAAAGTCATTTTTCATTTCGCTCTCATTTTACACTAAACTAAAAAATCGTTTTCATTTCCGTTTTTTTTGTTTTTATTACACCAAACACTGTTTTGAGAACGTTTTCAATTTTTTTTTTCTCAAAAACGTAAAAAATAAAAACGGGATCAATTCTAAATATGGCATACGTGTCATAGAGTAGAGACTAGAGAAGAGCATAAACCGGCACTAGACGGCACGAATTAGAGGAACTTTCATGGAAACCACTTTTAGCTACATATTGCAATCAAATCCGGACATTGTTCACAAAAGTAGAGAAATTGTATTAAATTGGGATTCTTCCGCTTCAGCCAATTTCCGTTTACCAACCGAACCAGATAAATTTGTTCACGTCGTTCCCGTTAACATCGTATGTACATGTTATTAAACTTACCTCGTTCGTTTTTTCTTCCTTTTTCATCAGCACTTTCTCCCACAACCTCATCAACTGTTTTCTCTGTCTTTCATATAATCTGCCAAATGTAGCGACATCTCATCATCAAGGATTGATGTGATGTCCCAGGTTCCATGGATTCGGACACATAATTAACAAATGCTTCGTCCATTTGTCCTATGTTTACTCCTACAACTGCCGCTGTAAGTAAACAAATAAATGAAATTATATTTTACCTCCTCGGAGCAGCTCGATCAGATGTTTTGCCGACGATGTTTTGCTCTCGATCTGATTTGCGCCACCGCCCCAATTTCATTAACACAAAGCTCAGCCGTCCCCTTCGTCGCGTCCAAAATTACGGAATACCATTTCCGATTGGATTTCACCTACATTTTTAGCTTCTCTCGTCATTCCCAAAATTTTTTCTCTTAGGTTTTCTTCAAAAAAGGGATGAATGGTATTTTTTTCATTCATATCATGTTTGTCAATATACGGTCAATATATAGAGGAAGATTTTCTACGATTAAGCTATACAATCACTTATAATCACTCTCATTTACAGCCCTATAATTAAGTATGATCTCACAGTTAATATACTACAAGGCAATCAGACTAAGAAAGGAAAGAATCACAAACGATTCTCTACTACTAATCTCGTAGAATCTCAGTAGGTTTCTCCAAAAACAAAGTTCTTCACGTCACTTTTCAATACAACATGCCATTTTTTTTAACTCTGTTTGGGTTTAACGATCCTTCCACAATTACCCTCTTCCGACTCCACTTATTTCTCCATGTCCGTTAGATTGTAGATCTCAACGTTCCATAATCATCACCTTATCGGCAGGAGAAAGTACATCTCCTGCGATAGACTCTCCCAAAAAAAAAAAAAAAAATCAATCAGTTGGTATTCATTTTTATTCGTCATTTATTCTGCATATTATTTTTTAAAATAAAAAAAATTATGTAATTTTAATTATATCTAATGATCATAAAAACACTATCAGTAAGAGAGGTTATTGTAGAAAGGCCTTTTGCAATTTTGTTTGTTTGTTTTGGAATAAGTAAAAAACGCAACAAATTAAATCCTAAACTGGCGTAAGGCAGAAGACTGAAATTATGTGAATCGCAACATCAATCTCATGTAAGAAGAAATGCAACATCAATCTGTCCTATATCATATGTGAAGGATTTCATGGGCAAAAAGTCGTCGCCTCCTATTTATCTTAGATGGGTAATTTATAGATATGAGATTTGACAAAGATCCATGATTCAAAAGAGACTTTCCTGATCTGATTTTGATTATAAAAAAGTTCTGCCAACAATTTTTTGGTCAACCATTCAAATATATATTTTGGATTATTTTAGTTAGTAGTTAGCAAAGCCCTTAAATTTGGAATTTGTTGAATCAGATATTGTTTCTGAAAATTGGACAACTCATCGACTGAACATTGCAACGTGTTGTTATTTCATCATCATCCATCCCCCCTCACTTTGGAAATTTCTTGTATTTAGATTTTGTGCCAATAATAAATTTCACGAGCTTGCATTCTACAATATGTTAAAAAGAAGTGCCAGTTGTACAAGCCATCTTAATTTTATGATTCATTCTATATAATAATAATAATATTGTAATGTCATCAAGATTTCAAATTGGCATCTTAATTTTATGACTCATTCTATATAATAATACAATTGTAATGTCATCAAGATTTCAAATAGGCAATTAGTTTTATGTGCGAGATTTTAAGTCAAATATTATATAATATCTTCCTGGTAGGATGAGCACAAGTATTTTGGACTAATTTTGATCACATATATGGTTTAACAAATATAATTTGGAGCATTTTCAACGCAAATGTAAATGCTAGATTTTGACATTTGGATGGAATGATCACTCTCCAATACAATTTTATTTTTAATGTTATTGATATAGGCTATATTTTGTGCTAAATTTAGCAACAAGTAAATCATATGACAAGTTTTGATATTTATTTATTATTTGTTGATGTGTTGAGACCTTTTCATTTAGCAATTACGACATTATTATTTTCAAATTATTTAACAATTAAAAGTCTATTCAATAAGTTCCAAAGCTTAAAATTAATGACAAAAAGTAGATATAACATTTGTGTAAACAATACAGATAAGATCAAAAAACAGATTAACATACCAAATATGTTATTTTTACACTTGTTTGTATCAGAATATAGTATCGACATTGAGATTTACGTCGACGATAGGCTAAGTTATTGGATCCTCCCTTTTGACGTATAACAATTGGTATTAAAAGAAACACAATTTAAGTTCTTTTGTTACAGTATTTTCTCTTACAAAAATTCAAATTTAACATTTTTTTTTTTGCTACAATTTTCTCAATTTTTTTTTGAGCTTTAACTTAGGACCTGTTTAGTTCGTTGATTTGAGTTGAGATGTGACTTTATGTGAGAGTTTTTTACTGTAACAAAAAAGTTAGATGTGATTGTTTTTTAGAGCTTTTTACTGTAACAAAACTCAAATTTTAAACTTGAATCGGTGAAATGAACGGAATCTTAAGTTGTGAAAAGAACTTACGAAATATGTTTCAAGTTCAAGCTTATGGGACCCATTCTGCGTGGCGCTTTGGTTGCCCCTATGGACTTTCATGGTTATGATGATTCATTTTCATGCGACAATATTACATCTGATGCAAAAGAAAGATTAGGTTTCCAGGCTCCCCATTTCCTTGAAAGGGACTTTACTTGTGGAAAATTGGTTTTGTTGATTTCAGAGAAAGAACTAGCTAGGTTTAGTTGCAGTCAATGTACTACTCTTCAATTGTAGAAAAATATGGATAATCGGCTTTTATATTTTCTTTGAAATTCTATGGTACGAGTTTTCAGCTTTTGCTCGCTGTATTCAAAGTCAGAAAAATTCTTTGATAGATCCCACGTTGTTCAGACCCTCAAATTTTCACTAAGTTACGCTAACCGTATCTAATATATATGATGCGGTTGACGTTTGGTTGATGAATTCAGAATTATGATTCAGAATCATTCTCGATTTACGTGTATTTTTTATGAGAGAAAATACTGTAGCGAGCTACGAATCATGATTCGAATTATGAAACGAATACACCAACCAAACGCACTATTATGAAAAAATATATGTTTTTCGTATCCTACCCCTTGAAAAAAAATTTTAAAAAAAAGAAAAGAAAAACGGGCAAAAATATTCTGCTTTAAACTGTCCTCTCAACTACGTAGTGGTCAAACAGAGCATACAAAAGAAAAAAAAATGAAAAAAATGAAAAAAATGAAAAAAAAAAAAAACGAGACAGCAAGTAATTAATATGTACTGTCAATATTCTAAGCACATTAACACACAACCTACAGCTTGTCTAGACATCGTGAAAGATTAATATAATATGGATTGATTGCTACTCATCATACAGGCCTAGTCAAAGTTTATCGCCTTAATTTGTCAATTTCATATATTAAAAAAAAGAAAAAGGAAAAGTGAAATAGAGAAGCATAAATTTCTTACATATCTAGCTGGACTTCCGTGAACATTATGTGTTTCTTCTCCTCTTTCCAACACACTTTTTGTAATATTGACGATGGAATAAACAAATTGTGACTTGCAGGTTTGTTTATTTTTTATTTTTAATCTTGAATTCGTTTTTCATGCAATTGCATGGCTGGGTGAAGAGGGTCATTAGAACATGTTGGACTGAATCATATGAATAAGAAATAAACTTTTTATTCATCAAATTGTCACTCCAGCCTTGCGGCTCTTAACATTTATGGGTTCTATCTCTATATGTCGAATATAAATAATGTGGTATAAAAACTACTTAAATACATTTCATGTCTCACCCTTGATTATTTTTTTTTATTTTTTTAATATAACTCTCACTCCTAATCTCTTGGAAACGAAAACAAAAATGAACACTCTCTAGGGTTGCATTTTGCATATGATGTTGGCTTAAGTGTGAAAAGACTCTTCTGTACACTTGGCTTGGCTTCATTATCCTATTCTCCGGTAATCATCAAAACACAAAAGAATGATAATCTTCATCACTTCACTTGGGGTCTCGGAATTTCCTCGGGCCAAAAAGAAGAGAATAAGGTGGAGATCCTTTTTCTCCTTTCCTTTCTCTCTCTTTTGGCAAAATAGCAAATGTTGTTTGCTTTTTGTTTTCTTTTGCTTTTCTCTCTCTCTCTCTCTCTCTATCTTCTTCTCTTGTAGAAAGTGGTTTTTTTTTTTGTCAAGAAAATTTTGCTCAATTTGGGAGTGAGTTTTTTGCTTTTGCTTGTTGTAGGGCATTATGGCAAGTTGTTGTTGTTATTCCCAGTTCTAAGTTTTGGGATGTAATATGATGGGCAAGCCGTTCTGGGGAAGAGCAAAAGGGCCATACTGAATCCCATTCTGTGCACCCACTACAGACCACCTGCAAATATTAATGTAACAAATAATTAGCCGCCACACGTCACTAGTTTTAATTCTAGACTCTTACTATTTTTAGAAACATCATATGATGGAATATTATGGCATAGTATTGAGATATATATATATATATATATATTTTGAAGTCAAGATATATGTGGTAGTATATTAAAATTGTCACATACGGTATTTTTAATTTTTACTATGTGACAATTCTATTTATCGACGTGCACATCTAGTGATAAAAGTATTTAAAAAAAAAAAAAATTACCAACCTGTACTTTGTGGTTAGATGGTGTAGCAGGACCAGCATCTCCAGCTTAGCCAATTCATTCCCAGGACATGCGTGGGTCCCATTTCCAAATGGCATGTATGTGTTCGGTTTGGGAGCAACCTGTTCAAATTCAATCATAACAAAATGATTCCAAATTAGGTAAAGTGATGTTTTTTTTTTTTTTTTTTTTTTTTTTTTTTTTTTTTTTTTTTGCTTGAAATTTTAAATTCAATCATAACAAAATGATTCCAAATTGGGTAAAGTGCAAATATTTTTTTTTTGGCTTGAAAAAAACTCTTTTTACCTTAAATCTGGAGGGATCAAATTTGTCAGGCTCTGGAAAGAAATCTGCGCTGTGATGGATGTTCCTGAAAAGTGGCAAGACTTTCCACCCTTTTGGTATAAGATATCCTGTAATTTTTTTAACAAGTTAGAATTAAATGTCTAAACTTAACCCTTCTAAAGAAAAAATTACGAGTTATCGCATAAATATAGTAAGAAAGTAACATGTACTAAGAAACTGACCTTCATATTCAACATCTTCCACAGCTTCTCTGAAGGTAAAAGACAAAACTGAAGCGACTCTAAGAGTCTCTTGAATAACTCTGGAGGTCACAGGCATCCTTTTGGTATCTGCCCAAGTGAGAACCTTATCTTCACCACTCCCTTCTTTACCCTTCAATATGGACTGTTGCTCTTCCTGTCCAAGTCAAAATAAACCCACTAATTAAGTCCCACAATACTTTTAACTTATATTACAAAATTATTTTTGATTTATATTTTTTATGAGAAAAAATACTATAATAAGTCACGAAGCACGAATTCTTTCTCCAGAGGCACGTAGTAATTTTTAGTCGGGTTGAGAAAAATAGAGAGATTCTTACGGTGACGGCTTCAAGAACACCGGGGTTCTCTCGGAGGTACTTGACGATCCACGTCAAGACGCTTGCGGTGGTGTCACGTGCTGCGAAGATTACGCCGATGATGTTGTCGGCGATTTGGTCGTCAGTGAGGCCTTCGATGTCGCCCATGAAGGAGGCAAGGAGGTCGTTGTGGGTTTGGCTCTGCTGGGCCTGCCTTCTAGTGGAGATGATCTTGGCCAAGATCTGGGACAACTCCTTCCTGGCCTTCATCGCTTTGTGGAAGAGTGTACCGGGAAAGTTTATGGGCATTGAATTGTATCCCTTCTCTAGTATGAAGTAGCACCTCTTCAAATCCTCCCTGCATAGCTCTTGGTCTTTTCCAAATATTGAAAGTAGTGACACGTTGAAAGCAAACTGCAAAAAAATTAAAAAAAAAAATTAAAAAAAAAATCACAGGATCAAGCCAAATGTTGTAGTTGGATTTACAAGTGATGAGTAATTAAGAAGATGAAACAACAGGGTGTTATAAGCTCACCGTCTTCATTTCATGGAAGGTGTTGACCAAACGGCCTTGACAAGATTGAAGAGAGTCTTTGGCGATGGTTTCGATGTTGGGGATGATGTTCTTGACGGCTTCAGGCATGAAGGCGCGAAGGACGAGCTTCCTCAGCTTGGCGTGGTAGTCGCCTTGGTGGAAGAAGATGGCCTGTTTGCCCAGCATCCTCTCTTTGCTGGCGGGGAATGTGGGCTTGAAGAGATGGGATCTCGTGACGAGCACGAATTTCGCGGCCTCCGGGCTCGAGATCATGACACAAGGGCACCCCAAGATGTGAGTCTTGAAGATGGAGCCATACCTACAATTCAAAAACAATCCAATACCATTTAACCACAACTGAATTTCCTCCTCTGTTTTTGAGGCAAACAAGACATTTGGGTAAAAATGGTGTATAAATCCTTGGTTGTGCAAAAAGGGGAATTTCGTTTTACCTCCTCTGTTTTGAGGCAAAGAAGTCATTTGGGTTTTGGGAGTAGAGTTGGAAGGTCTCCCCTATGTATGGCCAACCCAAGGAACCCGGCGGAAGCGGCAAATTTGCGCCTTTCGATGAGATGGATTTCAGGAGGGAACGGATTAGAAACAAGATGAAGAAGAAAGCAAAGAAGAAGCAAGGGACTATGGAGAATTCCATTTGATGAGTTGATAATAACAATTAAAAGGAGTAGTGAAAGGGAGTGATGAGAAGAAGTGAAGAAGTGAAGGTTATATTTATAGGCATATTTGATCGAGAGACTGTAACAAAAAAAGAGGGAAGGAAAGGAGGAAGAAAAAGAGGAGAAAGGGAAAGA